GGTGATTGATACTATTTCTATTTTTGAGACTTTAATGTATGGAAAAAATCCCGCAGCTGAAGTGGGCATCGTGTGGGACTGGTTCATTCAACGTCCATAGAAGTCTCTCTCACCCCCATCCAGATCGGCGGTTTTTCCCATAGGGTTTCCTGCCGACTGGACGTTCAACCATATTGAAATTCTTGGTGAAAACTTCACGTTCAACCGGGAGCTTTTCCCACGTGGTTTTCTCCCGGTTGGACATTCACCACGGTGTCATTGACACCAAATTGTTACTACAATACACAACCACTCGAGGCACTCTTTCCAGCTAGGAAGCTTTCCCCACGCGGGTTTTTCTCCTAGTTGGTTTTGATGAGGCCTCAGCTCTACGACAGCTCAAGACAATCTCTTGACAATGTAGACGGCTCGACACTGCCGTCTGGAAATGGAAAAAATTGTTGGAGGAAATCGAACCGGTCGAACCTGAAGAAGAAAATGGGCGTGGCAACCGTGCCACCCGATGAGTCCCGAAGAAACAAGAGGACTCAATTGATTGCCCATTCATCGAACGAACCCCGAAGAAGAAGATGTATGGGTTGCCATGCCACCACTACCCATTGAACTGACTCCGAAGAAGAGAACGGGCATAGCAACCCATACCACCCAATGAGTCCTTAAAAAAGAAGGACTCATCGAACGCTCTGAAGAAGAAGATTTGTATGGGTTGCCATGCCACCATTTTACCATTGAACAGAAGAGAACGGGCATGGCAACCCGTACCACCCAATGAGTCCTGTTTTTCAGGACTCAACTACCCATCGAATGACCCGAAGAAGAAAATTTGTATGGGTTGCCATGCCAACATTTACTATTGAACCGACTCCGAAGAAGAGAACGGGCATGGCAACCCATACCACCCAATTAGTCAAACAGAAGGACTCAAGTGCCCATCGGACGAAAGAAAAACATCCAATCGGACAATCATTTGAATATCAACAACACCGAAAACAATACCGAAAGCAATACCAACCATATCAATATCAACACCAACACCAACATCGCAAACATCAATATCACCAATATCAATACCGCCAACATAAATATCCAAAATCGACAAAAACCAACGAACAACTGGCACAACCAACAAACCCATCCAACGACTTTGGGCAATCCATTCAATCAAAATCAAAAATCAAAAAAACGATATCGAAAGACAACAAAACAACGGAGGAAATTCAAGGGAAAACAAAGGAAACAAGCGGAAATTGGATTCAATATATGTACGAGGTACTCTTTCCAGCTGGTTGTATTTATCCCACAGGGTTTTCTTCCAGCTAGTTTTAACGAGGCCTCGAATTGATGTCGGTGAGTTATACTTGTTGTATTGGATGATGGAGACTGGACTTCAATGTATGAAAGGTGGTGTTGCTGGACAGTCCGAGGGAGGGCATGGCACCTCTCTTTCGGGCTGTCCAGTGGCTAACTCAAGGGCTTATTTATATAGTTGTTGCTGGACAGTCCGGGGGAGGGCATGGCACCTCTCTTCTGGACTGTCCAGTGACCCAACACAATCAAATTCATGAATATCATTTTGATTATTGATGTATTGTAGATATTGCAGTATACTATGTACTACAGACAAACAATCTTCATACGACTGATCCCTATCTTGGCGTGCAATAGGAGATGTGTCTTGTTCGAATATATTTGTGCAATGTAATAACTAGTCGTGGTCATAAATTTCGGATCTCGTGATGTCTTCCAATCAAATGTTGCAGTAAAGTTCCCAAATACCCGAGTATCCCAACCAATCCAAGAACGCCTCATTGAGTCCTTGTCGCAGAAGTTCATCCCCCATATAGTACTTTCTCGTCTTCTCCCGCACAGCAGTTCCAAGAGCACTCTGAAGGGGGTTCCCTAAGCGAATTGTTTCTGTGGATCTCATGAGGTCTTTCCAATAGATACTCTCAGGCTGCCAACGTCGTTCCTCATCCGCCGCTGATGCAAGTCTCTCAAATTCCGGTAGTGATTGTACAGTCTCCCAAATTCTAGGTGCATCGTAGTATGACGGCCTGCCATAGTTCCTCAAAACTCGCTGAGTATACTCAGGTTCAATCATCTGTCGAGAGGTTCGTCGTAAATAATCAATCTGCTGGTCTATAAGACTTTGTATATCCTTTCTCTCTTTGGCAGGCTCTTCGTCTTTCTCCATCTCGTCGAGATAATGGGTGAGCTCGTCCCTTAATTTTCGCAAGCGGTATTGTGTCCATTCAGGATAGAGAGAGGTTGTATCCGCATAAGGGCGGACGTTGGTAATATAGCTGGAGTCGTAAACGTTTGGCATTGTAGAACGGTATGAAGTAATAGTCGATATGCGCTCCTTGACGCCTTTCGCCCGGGCAGCCAGATGACAGACTTCGCCGCCTTGAAGCATGACAGCATGCCCAATTTGGGGGCCCTCAACCTTCAATGGCTTGGTTAGCAGAGGAATTTTAGTTTCAGTAAGATATATTTCCTACACACCTTCTGTACTTCCCCGTCTCCCTTCTTGATATATGTCTCGCCTCCGATCATACCCTCAGTGTCGCTCAGCATCAATACACAAACGTAAGGATACGAGTCATAGCTTTGAGCCAGTTAGTCTCGTCAGTGCTACAAGCAAGGCGGCCAGGGGATGAACTTACTGCCACGGAATGATAGCACTTGCATCTTTCAAAGGGTCGTAAGTTCGGTCTTCGAGACTCAACTCGAGTTTTTCTACCGCCGGCTCAGCTTTGAGATTACTGGCCATTTCTGCAATGGTAGTGCCTTCAACTTGGATGTTAGTGTGCCCTATTTCCGTTGGCATCACCACCTCCAGAGGTACACCGACTGCTTCAGACACAATCCTCATTGTCTCGGGGTGCGTCCAAAAGTCATTGACAAACTTTGACTGTTTCACCGCGTCGCGGAGGACTAAAGTCCCCGGAAATGGCGAGCTGGCACATTTGTCTATGACATTCTTTTGGAATAGCGCTCTCCGGTAGGCTTTGACACCCTCGGCAGACAATAATGGGAATGGAACTGTTCCTGCAATTGGCGATGCGGTTGGGCTCTGGCTTAGAAGCAATTCTTGCATGGTAAATTTTTTTGAAGGTGGGGTGTAGTTGAGGTGCACCTGTTTGATGAGATCTTAGAGGTGGTTTTTCGGTTAAGCGTCGATATTTCTCTAGATGTACATACTTTCGGATCGAATACCTCTTCCTTGATGTCCTTGACGGGGGTTTGGGAAGAGTTCCAGATATATTGCTTCAGCACGCTGAAAGGATTCATCATGGGCATGATATGTTGACGAAATAGAACCCAAACAAGGTAATTGCAATTACTGTTAGGTTTCAAATTTAAAAACAAGAATTATGGTCTACGAGCGTGAAAGACATGATTGAACCGAAGCACTTTCTTTAATAGTCGGTGAAACTAAAGTTATAGTTGCAGAGTACTCGTCTCGGCTTAGATTGACTCACATGGGCAATGCGCTACAGCCCAGATAAGGTATTCCTATCCAGGAAGGTCTGTCCGGGGCATATCATCGGGATTGTCACCGAGATCACATTAACATTATAGGACCGCATGTCTACGTTTGAATGCTTGCTGTCCTTTCTAAGGCATGAGCTGGCAATCGAGATTGCCCCAGTGAGCTGTGGCTATACTACCATTCCACAACCCTGCAGGACGAGAGATAGATCGACCGTTCTTTATATCTCCCGAATATGATCTAAATGCTTATCGCAGTCTTCCTTTTGGTCTATCTGCTTAAGGTTAGCTTGGCAGATAAGTTGGAAGCCCAAGACTCGTCAGTTGGTGTATCACGGACGGGAGCCGAGACTACTAATACCCCATAGTCTGATGAGGTTGAAGCGTGGGGGTAAGATAAAGAAATTAGAGAGGTATGGTGTTTGGTATTTTCCAATACACCTAGCATAGAGACCTATAGACGTGTACTGTTCTCGATAAAGGTCCTTGGCGTTACCCTTTGTCTTGAATGTAATGGCCTTGACTACTAGGACTATTCGGATTTCTGCTGAACAGATTATATATACCGCCATATCTATAAAATGAGAGCTATGTAGATGTCCGCAATAGCCCAGCTAGAGCCTGTGGCTTGAACACGAGGGATTGCGATCGTTCATGCAGGGTATAAAGCGGAGGTGAAAGCACTGAGGCTCAATAAGTCTATGTCGCCTTCGTACCTCGTCCGATGATGAGAGTTCCATATCCTCTTCTAGGCTGACAACTTAGACACGTTCGGTTTTCCCCTATCTGCTTCAAAACCAAGCTTACAGAAAGTAGAATATCTTGGGGATTGTTACAAGGACCCCCCATTGCTATTGATTTTTCTGTATTCTGTCTTACTAATCGATCATCAATTTTGCTAGACTTGATTCTGACACACTGGTAGCTCAGGGGAATGATGATGATGTATTGGCTAGCTACGGTAGCGGGGTAACTAGCTACAGTAAGGTCACGTGCACCCTTCCGTGGGTAACAGATTCTGCACTTTTGTCAAAACACCCTACATTCTGATCAGAACAAACGTGTATTTATCTCATACCTACATGTTTTAATCCCTTGATGATGCTAGAGCAGTTTCTGGAGTAGTTTTTGGAGTAGTTTTTGAAGCAGTTTAGTTGTTGACGATGTGATAAAAGTGTGACTTAGTTTTGTTAGTGGTTTATATACAAGTTGTAGGTATCTACCGGAGTTCGACACTAAGTCGGTGTGGAGGACGGTAGTTAAGCCGAATACTGAAAAATCAGGCAGGGGGGGGGTCCCTGTAACAATTCCCATATCCCATATGTTCACCAACACATATTGCTAGACGAAATCAACATGAAGGCTTTCATTGGAAACCTCGCTACATTCAATGTGGCAGATCCAAATAATACAAGAAGTGAGAGGAACATATATGCCATTGAACCACCGTACGTATTGGAAAGCCAGTATGGATTTCAACAAAGTGCACTTCCATAATTGCTGCTCTACGCGTTGATCTCCGCGCCCTTGGCTAATAGCAGCTCCACAACCTCTTTGTTACCGCAAGCGGAAGCCGCCTGGAATGAACTTCCATATAAGCCCCCCTGCGCGTTGATCTCCGCGCCCTTGGCTAATAGAAGCTCCACAACCTCTTTGTGACCGCAAGCAGAAGCCGCCTGGAGTGCACTTCCATAGAAGCCACCCTGTGTATTAATCTCTGCGCCATGAGCTAATAGCAGCTCCACAATCTCTTTATGATCATTAGCGGAGGCCGCCTGGAGTGCATTTCCATCTAAGCCGCCCTGAGCGTTGACATCGATCTCCGCGCCATTGGCTAATAGCAGCTCGACCATCTCTTTATGACCATTAGAGGAAGCCGCCTGGAGTGCACCTCCATATAAGCCACCCTGCATACTGATATCCGCACCATTGGCTAATAGCAGCTCCGCAATCTCGGTATGACCATTAACGGAAGCCGCCTGGAGTACGCTCCCATAAAAGCCGCCCTGCGTATTGGTCTCCGCGCCATTGGCTAATAGCAGCTCGACAGTCTCTTTATGACCACTAACGGAAGCCGCCTGGAGTGCGCTTCCATAAGAGCCCTGCGTATTGACCCCCGCGCCATTGGCTAATAGTAGCCCCATGATCTCTTTATGGCCGCCAGAGGAAGCCGCCTCGAGTGCATTTCCGTAAATGCCGCCCTGTACGTTGATTTCCGCGCCATGGGCTAACAGTAGCTCCACAATCTCTATGTAACCTCTATCAGAAGCCGCCTGGAGTGCACTTCCATAATTGTCAATCTGCGCGTTGACATCCGCACCTTTAGCCAATAGGAGTTGTGCTGTTTGTTGGAGACCGAAGGAAGATGCGTAGTATAGTGGAGTTGCCAGGATGTGGGGTCGTCCATATGACCGCCGGTAATAAATCGACTCAAAGAGCTCACCCCAAGCTTGATTTTCTTGAAGGAAAAACTTCATGACGCTTTTCTGGACTTCGGTCTCTGTCTCCGCAGGCCGTGCATGATCCATCCAATGCTGGGCCGAGTACCGCGCCAACGGAAACTTTGCCTCGATTTGCTCTACTGATAATTGCACATCTAGAAACGACAAGAATGATAGACACAACAGCGCCATGTTCGCGTGTGAATGTTGCATACTCAGCCGCCCCTTCCACTTTCCACTCCGAGGAGGGTTGATGAGAAAATCTCTGGCTGTCTGATGGATAAAAAACAACTTCGAATCGTACACATTGATGAAGAGACCGCAAAGATTTTCCACAACGCCTTTGAAGTTATCTCTCGGCCATAAATCTTTCTGGAGATCGTCGTAAGAACTAAAAGTGCCCTTTCTCAAAGCCATCGTTAACGCTATGTTGGCTTCGTCAAGTGATAGAGGTCGTGATGCAGCTAAGACAATTTGAAGGAGATTTTCTGTCTGGAGCTTTTCCCCGCTCCGATCCAGAATCTTCTCATACGCTTCTGAGACCTTAGAAGGCAGCCCAGTGAATAGTTCTTTCATATCGGACAGTCGACCATACTCACTCCGGCTATGCTCAATAATATCGAAAGTGAGATGTAGCCAGAGGTAAGTACGATTCTCCATGCCCTTGAGCTGATCTGAAATCATTTGACGGTCGCTCTCTTGGAGGTTTTGGGCGAGGTTTTGTAGTTTAGTATCGATGACCAGATCTATATCGTTGCTGATTTCGGCGGTCTTTTCATCTCCGTCCAAGCGCACACAAGTTGTTGTATCAGGGAAATCTTGGAACGATGCCTCCAGGTGATCATAAGGGCGACCAGTGATCAGGAACTTCAGTTTCGAGGTTAAAGATGAAACTTGGGGCTCGGAGTAGAGCTCCCTTAGTTTGCGGATCAATTGCCGACTGCTATGATCATTGCATTCATCCAGGGCATCAAGGACACAAACTATCTCTCCAACCTCTGGCGAGCTGACGCATTGGATGAACAGACGCCACAGCTCAGAGAAGTTCTGTACTAGATTTGGGCCGTGATTTTTGTGGCTGGGCATTGCATTTTGGATCAGTGTGCCCGTCGGATCGTGGGTGAAAAGCTGGTGAAGCAATGCGCACAAAGCATCAGTGGCTGACACGCGGCGCTCATCCCCATCTTTGAAAAAGAAATAGCAGATAGTAGATGTCGAAATATTCGTAGAAAGCCGGTTCTCGTCAATGAGAGCCCGTGACAACACCGACTTTCCACAGCCAGGCCCAGCGGAAATCCACAGAAGACTGGAGCGGTCGTTATCACGCCAGTTTCGAAGTACGTCACCCTGTAAGAACCAGTCGCATGTCCCTGGGATTCTCAGTGGGTTATAATTCTTGCCATCCTCGTAGTCGGACGCAAGTGCTTGAAGAAACCCTCGCTCGTTCTGGTCTTTATAATTCTTCTGGTTCCGACTCGTGTCCGCTTTTAGGACATCCAAAATGCCATCAAGAATTACCCGAGACTCTTTAATCTCCAGTAACTGACGATCTCGATGACGGCGAACCTCCCCAAGTTTGAGGGGGGAGACATAGCTCCTACAGTTATCGCTCAATTGTTCGATTGTTAATCTTATTTTTCCCCAATTGCTTTCACCGGTCATGTTATCCCACGCGCGGGAGACTTCAGCTTTTGAGAAATGACAGATAGCACGTGCTTGGTATTCGAGTATAAAAGAGTAGACCTTAGCAAGGGGTTGGATGAGAGCTTGATACTCTTCCCCATCCTTGGACTGCAAGTATGTCTTCTCGCAGATATCCCAGTAGATCTGAACATGGTCAATGGAATCGAAGCCTTCAAGCATCGCAAGATTGCTAATGGTACTGCTTGTGAGAAGCTGCCTGGGTCAGCCTTGGCTAGATAACAGGAGGATTGCTTGGCTTACAGGTAAGAGCAACGAAACACCAGCCCATGCCAATGCTGCATATGGCTGGGTGCTAACGGCTTTCTTCACGGCTGGTTCGGCCCAGAGGAGAAACTTAACCAGTTTTTCGGCTTGCTCTCGTATCTTCACCTCCTTTCCCACCAGTGAGACTCGCCACTGCTTCTGGTCCCGAACTTCCAGCAGCTGCTTTATCACCCGCTCAACTGAGTGTGGATTTGAGAGATTTATGTGCTCTGAGTTATCGGGCTGCGCTAGGCTCAAATGAGTCTGATAATCTTTTACCAACTCGGGCTCTCGAGTCTGCAAGAGTTTATATGCCCGGGCCCAGGTGTCTTCGGTCGTAGGAGAAGATGATGGACCGGGTATGAAATTTTCGGGCTGCACGTCGGTCGTTTCCAGCGAGAGGGGCTCGAAAAGACTTGAGACCGGCATGGTATTGGAAGTCACTTGGAGAGCTTGTCGGGATTTCCAGTAAGGCCATCTGGAGGCTGTGCATAGTTTCCCATAGAAGGGTCGGACGTGTTTGACTCCGCGGTCGGAGAGACGTCAAGGGCACCTCCACGTGTTATATCGGGTTTCTCCTTCTTTCTCCATTTCGCTAGCTTCGCCGCCAGTTTGTTGGTCATCTTCGTACTTTTACCCATTTTCCGGTCTGGGTTTTCCATTTTTGAAGATTTATGGAATAAAGATCTCAGTGGATGCTGGGCTTTCCCGAAAATGATGTTTTGCAAGCAAACAATTTGCAGGGGAGATCGATGTGGTTAAAGGATGGCGGGGCTGAGTTTGAAGCCCAAGATCGAGGGAGAGGAGTCAGCAAAACTTTTTAAGCCACGACGCTTAGCAAAATACAGCTGAAACCCACTATTCTGTAGTGATAGTTCTTTTGCTTCGAACTGCCGCAATTTTATCTCATCATTTTGGCTGATACTGATGTATATTGCTACATTGCATCTATAAGCTCTAGGTTAGGCCTTCGCAGTGGCGCAAAGTTAATATAATTACTACATACCTGACAGCACGAATACAAGCTTAACATAGGTTATATAATTTTGACCTTATCCTGTAAAGCCACCGTGATTCGACTGTCTGGGTTCCCCAGCGGCCCCTGAATAACATAGGATAAACAGAAGGGGGGGAAACGCATCATCGTATTCGCACAACACACCTATATGTAGTTAACAGGCACCATTCCTATCTGGGAAGGTCTGTCCGGGGCATATCACCATGATTACAAGGTATGAGCTGGCAATCAAGGTCGCCTCGTGGGCTTGCTTTATTCCATACCCCTATAGGATAAGAGATAGATCTGCCGCCGTTATTCCAAGGTTTTAAGGTTGTATCTCCCGATATGTAATCGGAAGGCTTATCGCAGTCATGTTTTCACTTTACTTACTAAGTTTGGAAGATTTGGCTCGATAGATAAGTTGAAGCGTGGAACTTGTTAGTTGGGGACCAAGGGAGCCGAGATAGGAAGTCCACTAAACCATAAGATAAAATCACTGTTCGGAGGAACAATTTGACAAGGGTGAAGCGTAATGTTGAAGCCGGGAGGTAATACGGAGAACTGGGAGAAGGTACGGAGGAGTATTTTCCAATACCCAGCGGGTATATGAGTCTCACGTGATCCACCCCGGAATCCCCAGTTTCCCCATGGGGTAGTCAACAATATGGTAGTACTAGTATCACTCTTTCTTCACTTGATGAGCAGCTACTATGTTTTTTATTCACTCGACCAGTTATGAAGGATCTTTTCAGATATCTACTAGTACTAGTACTGGGTGGAAGGCCTCGTGACCATCCATGCATTTCCCAATACGGCTGATTATGTTATACCCTCGGCTTTCCCCGCAATCTCGCTTTGCATCGGCTCAACAGGAGCTTCTCCAAACCCTTGACATTTTCCCATTCTCTACTCTGTCCCTTCAAAGCACCTTGATTATGCTTACATTGTGATTTGAATTACGCTCTGTAAAGGCCTCATTACAGCTGAAAAGGCTTTTTACCCACCGTCATGACCCTCTCATCCCTTCTCCGCATTGTCCCCCGCTTAACCCCGACCGCGACCCGCGGAACATCGCGAGCTGTATCATCGGCCACTAACACACCAAATACAATCAAGTCGTTGGATTCAATTCTTATAGCCAATCGAGGAGAAATTGCCTTGTATGTTGGGCACTGAATTATGTGCTATTTCCGGTGCTAACTTCGACATGCTAGACGAGTTGGGCGCACTGCCGCGGAACGTGGGATCCGCGTAACAACACTCTACACCGACCCGGACAGCCGATCACAACATGCCTTGAGCTCCCCCTTCGCCTTTAATTTGGGGTCGGTGTCGGCATACCTCGATGGTGATAGAATTATTGAGATTGCAAAGAGAGAAGGGTGTCAAGCGATTCACCCTGGCTACGGCTTTGTAAGTCGGCTGTGCATATTTACATTCTAGATTAAATACTAACTCGAGCTGGTTATGCAGTTGAGTGAGAACTCTGCATTTGCGCAAAAATGTACCGAGGCCGGGTTGGTCTTCATTGGCCCACCGTACAAGGCCATTGAGGATATGGGTGATAAGAGGTACGTTCATTGCGTTATTTGACTTCTCACTATGCTTACCAGGTGTGTCCTACCAGTCGTTCCAAAGAGATTATGACAGCTGCTGGTGTGCCATGCGTTCCAGGCTATCATGGCCAAAATCAAGACCCTGCGTTTCTCGAGGAGCAGGCGGACAAGATCACGTATCCGGTGCTCATCAAAGCCGTCAAAGGAGGTGGTGGAAAGGGCATGCGTATCGCCAGTTCCAAAGCGGTATTTCAAGCTCAGCTTGAGTCGGCTAAGTCAGAGGCCATGAGCTCATTTGGAGATGATAATGTGCTGGTGGAGAAGTATATCACCACACCGCGGCACATTGAAGTACAGGTATTTGCCGACAAGCATGGTAACTCCGTTGCACTAGGAGAGCGAGATTGCAGTATTCAACGGAGGCACCAGAAGGTTCTAGAGGAATCTCCGGCGCCTCATCTCCCTGATGCAACTAGAAAGGACCTCTGGGCAAAGGCACGGTCGGCTGCAGAGGCTGTCGGCTACGAAGGTGCCGGTACAGTGGAGTTCATTTTTGATAATGACTCGGGGGATTTCTATTTTATGGAAATGAACACCCGTCTCCAGGTTGAGCATCCCGTGACTGAAATGGTCACTGGAGAGGATCTTGTCCACTGGCAGATTCTGGTGGCTGAAGGAGCCAAGCTGCCCCTTACGCAAGAAGAAGTGGAAGAGCGTATCGCCAAGAGTGGCCATGGCATCGAGGCCCGAATCTACGCCGAAAACCCAGAACAGGGATTTATCCCTGACTCGGGGCGTTTACTCCATGTGCGAACGCCGGCTACTTCGAAGGACATCCGCATTGACGCAGGATTTGTGGAAGGAGACGATGTCTCGGCCCACTATGATCCCATGATCTCCAAGCTTATCGTGCGCGGTGAAACCCGTGAGGAGGCTCTCCGCAAGCTGGCTGCTGCTTTGGAAGAATATGAGATCGCGGGACCCGTGACCAACATAGAGTTCCTAAAAGCCATCTGCAAGAGCTCGGATTTCATCGCTGGTGAGGTCGAGACCGGCTACATTGAGAAGCACCGTGACGAGCTCTTCCCCCCAAAGACCACCGAGGAAGAAGTGCTGGCACAAGTCGCATTGGCCTGTCTACATCGCGACGCCGCCTCAGGGGCGCGATCCTCAGCAGGGGTTGCAGGCTCAACGGTCGGGTTCACTCCTAGTTACCAAGAGCGACAGTTGTCATTTACCGAGACCGCCGGCCCAGGGTCTACCGACGGCTCCACGTTCAGTGTGCGAGTACAGCAGACAGCAGATGACACATTCAACGTGGAGGTCGGCGGACGAGTTTTCGAGCAGGTGGTGAGCCACATGGATCCAGCGTCGCACATTGTCACGTCGTTTTTCCCGCACACCCGGTTAGATACAACAGTAATTCGAGACGAGGATACTATTATCGCATTCCAGCGTGGGACTCAGTACCGACTCACGGTGCCCCGGGCTAAGTGGATGGAGAAGGCATTGGGACTGAAGGATGTGACAAACAGCGTCCTGGCCCCGATGCCGTGTAAAGTGCTGCGGGTGGAGGTGCAGGCGGGAGATGTTGTGGAGAAAGACCAGCCGTTGGTTGTTATCGAGAGCATGAAGATGGAGACGGTGATTCGCAGTCCCCAACGGGGAACCATTGCACGGGTCGTGCACAAAAAAGGAGTAAGTCATGCGCCTTTCACCCTGACCAAACTTTCCTGGACTTTCCTGGGCCCCCATGACATCTTTTTTGTTTTATATGAATTTGTTTAGCGTTTTTTATTCATCCCCTTGAACTCCAAAAACCCCAGAAAGATGTGATTCGAGAACAGCTGACCAACATGTGCCTCGCAGGACCAATGCAAAAGCGGAACACCGCTGGTGGAATTCGCCGAATCCGAATAGAGTGAGACTTTTGTTATAGAGGTACAGGTTTCAGCATGGGGATACCTTCCAAGGTTAACACAAATATGGAGTTCACACTATCAATTTCGATATCGCCTTACAATTACAGAGAATCGAAAACAACATGCTTTGCATTTTAGGCTTGAAGGATAGCGAAAGAAAAAGCTGCACCCTACGTATATCAGATGATAATCCGAAAGCTGCATCCAATAAGCGTGCGATATAACGCTGTTAATAGATGGGCTTGACTTTGAGCACATAAGAATTAAACCCTGGGGTTCTTCGTCGGCAAGGGGATCAAATCCGGGGAACAGCTTGGATATTTGTGGAGAAATTGGGAACTAGGTCTCTTGAAATTATTTAGAGTAATCACATTGGTGTTGGGAGCGGCTCTAGCGTTTTGTTGCTTTGGAGTTACATGTATTTGTTATGTCGGATATCACAGCTTTATCTCAAGGAATTGAATTTGATCATTATTCTTGGGTATTAAACCCCAACAGAGCAATTAAGCAAGTTGCAGTCGAAGAGTGAAGTGCTAAATTGGTGACATCATAGTCTCCCCTCTATATTCTTTAGAGCTACGATTGGAGTAAATAAACAAATAAAACAAAGCTTGAGACTAAAATAGGCAGTCAATAGCCCTCCGATATCCTTTGGCTTTTTTTTCACCGCAAGTGTCTCATTTCTTAGCCCTTGGGCCCTGAGAAAAATAAAATACAAATGAGGTCCGATGACCTGATGACCTGATGACCTGCTTTGTTTAATATGTCCACCTTCCCCTGGATGTCTAGACCGTTTTTCCTCCCCAACGTTATTCTCCCGTACATTATACGTCGCGTCCCTCCCAACCGTATACCTCTACAGCTCTAGTGCATTGGAAGCTATAACCTTCAAAATGTTCAAGCCGGCAGTCGCACGCAATGCCATCAAGGCCGCCCGTCCTGTATTAGCAGCCGCCCGTCCAGCGATGGGCTTCACACGTCCTCTCTCATACACTGCCTCACTGGGAAAGAAGAAGAGCGATGACCCTGCAAAAGACCCCATCCTCTCTGCTACAAATAAGGCTCCCGAGGGTGCTGCTAGTGATAAGGAGGGCAGATTTGCTCGCACTGATGAAAGCGTACAAATCGAGTACCCTCCCGACAACGAGATGCCCACTCAGCCCGTGGCTCAGGGACGCGGTGGCATGCATTTCAAGCGTACTTTGGCCCAGTTCTCACTCGAGAAGAAAGTCAGCGTGGTGACTGGTGGTGCTCGTGGCTTGGGTCTAGTCATGGGCCAAGGCCTCGTTGCTTCCGGCTCGGATTTGGCTATCATTGATCTTAATAGTAAGTTCCTACAACCACTAAAAAATAACCGGAGCAAGCGATTTATCCTAACACCTATCCCAGAGTACGAAGCCGAGGCCGCAGTTGCCTCGTTGATCGAGCAGTTCCGCAAGGAGAATCCCGGCGTGGAAGAGTAAGTCCATTATCATACCATTCCAGCTCGCCGCAGCGGCTAATTCCAAAACAGTATGCCCAAGGTCACCGCCCATTACGCCGACGTCGCTAACCCCGAATCTGTGAGCAATGCGATGGCCGAAGTCCTGGCCAAGCACGGCAAGATCGACAACCTGGTCACGTCGGCCGGCTTCACCGAGAACTTCGAGGCCATCAACTACCCCTTCGACCGTATGCAGAAGCTGTGGGGCGTCAATGTCGACGGCACATACCTCTTCGCCATTAATGTTGCCAAGCACCTTATGGAGCGGAAGGCGCCCGGTAGCATCGTCATGATCGGCTCCATGTCCGGCGCTATCGTTAATGTTCCCCAGCCCCAGGCTCCGTACAACGCCGCGAAGGCTGCTGTGCGCCACCTTGCTGCTTCGCTCGCTGTGGAGTGGGCTGGTCATAATATCCGTGTTAACTGCATTAGCCCTGGCTATATGCTCACTGCTCTGTGAGTAACTCCTACATGGACGACGAGATACATTTGAGTAGACCCCCGGAAGAAATGGTTGCTAATGTCTTTCTTCGTCATTCAGAACTCGCAAGATCCTGGAGGAGAACCCCAAGCTTCGCGACCAGTGGATCTCTCTCATCCCTGCCGGCAAGATGGGTACACCGGAGGACCTGATGGGTGCTGTGACCTTCCTGCTCAGCGATGCCTCCAAGTACGTCACTGGGGCAGATCTCCGCGTTGACGGAGGCTATACCGTAACCTGAGCATGTTATCTGCGCACTATTAAATCTCTTGCATAATGCTAGCTTTTATTTTTCACGGATATGAATCCGATATAGACCGGTCATATTTTACGGCATGAGTTGCGGGATAATTTGGTCACGTATGTTGTGTTTTGCGGGATACTCTTTTCTAAGCGTCTATTGAACTTTTGTGGGGGAGCCGATCACATTACATAGCTCCCCACAAAAAGAGCTGTGAACACGCTGGCCTAGACCCCTGAGTCCTACCGAAAAAGGAAATCCGAGACATCCCCCGCCTAAATAGGCAATTAGCTGTGGAATAAAATTAGCGTATTATTGTTTGCTTTGTTTGTTCTTGCTTGGTCACGCATGGCTCACCTGGGCACCAGGGCAACTCCTCTCTCTTCTCTTCTCATCATGTTTAGTATTTTGATTTGACTACACTCTTTGTTGTTGAAGACCAAAAACATAATATTGTTTACTTGACTTTGAAAATAATACTTTGTCAAACCGATTACCATAGTACGCATGCTGCCAAGCAAGGGATAAGGAGAACAATATCACTTATACAACATCCGAAGACATATTTCTTGCGAACATTTCGTTAACTCGTGTACATGACCTTTAGCCTTACTATTCCGAGTATTGAGAATTCTCACGTACCTCCTCTACGCAATGCCATCAAACAACGAGCAGCTTCAGTCTACCCATGTCCAGTTGGAGATCGCGACAAACCAAGCTCGAACCTATTGGAACCAGCTTGCTGAGGAGGTTATTGCAAACCCTGAAGGTGGAGTCCTTCTTGGAGCAAATGTTTTACCGAATATGCTTTGCAGAGTCCCTGCCATACCCACCCAACCATGAGTTCTTTTTCTCCGATTGCATCACGAAATCCATTATGACTCCCACATCATCTACAATGCGCGTGGCCGAGCCAGGGGGTTGCGAAGTCGGAAACGGAATAAAAGAGAATCGATCAGTCTTACTTATGGGCATCCAGACGCCAATCACCTGTCAGTTTTCCGGAGACACCTTCCATCAATGGCGAACTTCCAAGCCACATTCTTCAAACTACATTGGTATCCTCACACTTGCTTGGTCCTATATTCTTTCCGCCCGTTTATTGGAACTTCAAAAGCACGATGGAGCCGAGCTTATTTACACTAGCTCAACGGCAAACTCTCGCAGGGTCGATGGGGTAGATAGAGACGAGGTGAAGCGTTCACCACCAATTGAAGTTCACATCGGGGAAGCCGAAAGCAACGTTGCTCGATGGTGGATGGCTATACTAGCCCCCCAGCAGGGATGGAAAGCGGTCTTGACCAAAAGAAACGATAATGTCTACCTGGCACCTTGGTCTATTGACTTAGGCGAGGATGAACTATTCGAAATTCTATGGCAAGGCATAGGGACTTCTGTGCCAGAATTCGCCGATTGTTTTCCACTTTCCTCTGGAGAGGCCTTGACGGCCCTCTCTGAGTTTTGCTTACTGCATGGTCTTGGAGATCAATTTTTTGGCGCTTTTGCAGCAGCGTTAACATTTCCGACGAATCAACATTACAAACGCAGGATTGAGTTGCCATCTCCAACCATTGTACCTGGCAGGGTAGAAATCATTTCGGATAAGGCATTGGGGAACGAATATATTACGCTTGGTGATGATCTTGCCTATTATATGGCCCTAAGCTGCAACCCTAGCGTCGTGATGTCAAGTCTTTCCGGATCATTTTGGGAGCCTGGGGTTCCCTGCAACCTTGTTAATTCTTGGCTGCATCCAGTTGTGGAAGAATTGCCAACAAGACCGGAACTAGCAGAGGCACCAGGCCGCTATATTGAATTGATCACTTTGATGTGCGGAATCCGTCGTCCAGGCCTTTCTGCTCTTTGGGTAGGAGCTGCACTGAGTGGACTTGTTCCAAAGGTCATTGACCTTGCTAAAAGTGGAACGCCCCCTCTTGATCCGAGTGGGTTTGCGTGGACATCCTCCGCGCAGAATTTTATGGACTTTGCAGGCTCAGGTCCGTATTTTGCTTATGATGAGTATGGGGGATATGCAATCAAAAGAGCCGATGCCTGGAGACTCTTATATCTTCCTGTCACGGAGGATGATGGGCTGCACTACAATAGTCTCCCATTTTCGCCCTGGCCCCCGATAGGGCAAACAAAGGAGAAGAACTGTGCTTTACGGGTACAAAAACATAAGAAATGCTCGAGGCACACTCTGGCCTATCTTGACTGGGCGTGGCAACTACATGATAGTACAATTTTGCACGACAGGGGTTTTCGGCTTCAGAATCCCACCATTCCCCACCCAGATCAGTCCAACATGTCGCAGATGAAATCCAGCTTTTCTCAGTTAAATACTCCTCTTTGTTTAATGCAGGATGCATCACGTGAAGCCTCGTTGGAGATTTTTCGATGGGTGTTGGCAAATCATGAAGGAAAGCCATCCTCTGAGCCTATATATGAGGACTCTTGGATAGCAGGATGCGACGACACCGACGAGTCAGATGCAGAGGTGGAAAGCATTGCCAACAGTGACCTTGATGCCTCATATACAGGTTCTCCACTGGGTAGTTCCAGCGCCAACCCGATTACCACTCCACGAGAAAGCCGCATAAGGCAATGGGTTGATAATATTTCTAGTCCCGATTTACCAGAGTATGAAGTTTCACACGAGACTTCATAGTTTATTATTTGGGACTAGATCGGCCGAGAATCGGATGCTCACCCGAGTTAGTACAAGCGCCGGAGCACGGAGTACATAAGATGGCATTTAACGGACTACAAGTCAGTTTGGTTAGTCTACCGTGTGGATTATACGTGTTGTATTTGTCTACTTCGCATAGAGTGGTAAACTCAATAGAACTGTGGCTTGTTTTTATACCTTTCAAAATGTTGAAGGTCAACTCCGTAGCTCCGTAGTTCCACAACAGGTAGCTAGTTATTCTCCCCTCAATGCGCTATATTCAGTGGTCTGTAGGGCAGCTAAAAGCATAGTCGAACATAGTCGAACAAAAACAATGGTCTCTAGACTATAGAACTAGGACATTGCAGAGTAGTGAATGTTAGAAAAGACACAGCGTCATTATCCACACCCATTATCACCTCATTAATCCAAAACAAAATTTTTCCATAGCTCGGTGCTGATTTCCTGTTAAAGCCTCAAATGGACAATTTCCCGTCTTGGCTACTTCGTCGATCTCTTGTCATCTCCGACTCGTACCACTTCTGCGCTCCGTGCCGAACCCACTTGATCCCTCAGAGCTAAAGTCCTTCCACAACAATGTAAATAAAAACCCCTCTTTGTTAGTTGAAATCCCATTCCTATAATTTCTCTAAACTATTCTGTACCATGCGTTTCAATCCTACATTGAGCCTGGCCATGGTGGCCAGCGCCACAGCCGCCCAATTGACAACCCAACTATTCAACTTCACCAGCTCAATCAACATCGAAAACAGCCAGCTCCGGCCCAACGGCCATCTCCTCCTCACAACATTCTACGAAGCCCATCTCTACACAATCAACCCGCTCGCCCGCAATCCCCAAGCCGAGCTAGTCGCCGCGCTCCCCGGCGCCACAGCTCTAACCGGCATCGCAGCCGTCGGCCACGACAAGTATGCCGTCGTAGGCGGAGTCCGGGGCTCATACCACTACGACAACGAAACCATCTACACCGTCGACTTTAGCAAGAATGCCACAAACCCCACCATCCAGACCGTCGCGCACATCCCGGACGCCGATATGCTAAACGGCATGGCCTCAATGCCGTCGCAGCCGCATATTCTCCTGATCGCGGACGCGCGGTTGGGATCCATCTTCCGCGTCGACATCACCACCGGTGTCTCGAAGGTCGTGTTGAAGAACGACGCTCTGGCCGCGCCTGCGAACTCGTCCATGCCCATCGGCATCAATGGTCTGCAGGTTGTCGGGGGTAATGTGTACTTCACCAATAGTGCGCTTAATATATTCGCCCGGGTGGCTGTCAGCGAAGATGGGGAGACTTTCGGTCGTATTCAGGTGATTGCGCAGTTGGTGCGCGAGGCCGGCGATACGGATTCGGATTGGGATGATTTTGCGATTGATGCTAGTGGTAATGCTTATGTGGCGCAGCCGTCTAATGCCATTGCTAAGATCACGCCGGATGGAACGCAGAGTGTCGTTGCTGGTGGGGGTGATAGCTTGGCTTTTATTGGCCCTACTTCTGTACAGATCGTGCCGGGCGGGAAATTGGCTTATGTTACTACTCGTGGAGGCGACCAGGGGGGTGTCTCTTATGGTGGGCAGGTTGTTGCGCTTCGGCTTCGCGAGTAGATAGTGCAGGGACCGAGAAGTGTATGCATTTGTATCTAGACGCTTCGTATTGTGCTACTTAATCCATTTATAATACCCCTGCCAGATCTGAGACGCTTTGAAGGTTATATTTATCTATTGAGTGAGATGTTAGGGCTAAAGTCAACGTAGACGGACGATGATTAAGTTAAGACATGTCAACTTAGTGGCATGTTCATCGCATAGTAAATCTCTCTGAAAATATGGGTTATGGCCACCTTATAATGTATGATAAATTGAAGATATTCGAGCATACTTTTTTTCCTTAGATCTTCTAGATCGTTTGCAGAAACCCGGAGAAAATACAAACCCAATTACAGCCTCCCCCGCATAGTTGAAAGATGTTCCCTATTGGATGTACCGAATAAAGGGGCATGTGGGTGTGAATGTCACCTCGGCAAAGCTCCTTGATTTGCTCAGATTATTTTCTCCAGGTCGTATTTGGGGTGTTCTGTGTCATATTTAGGAAGTCGGCCGTCAATAGGGCTGTACATCCCTGCTTGCGAAAGGACGCGCAATTGGAATGTAACGATGACGCTTTTTTATTTTTTTATGTTTTGATCTTTTTAGTGAGTAGTTAGTAACTGGTTTCTTGGTTTTTGTATAATATAGAATGGTGAAGCCCAATCCTGGCTCATCCCGGTGATCCAGGCGAGGCACATACAACATAGTTTGAAGAATTTAGTCTTTCTAAGACTTCGGAAAGATCTAGGGAGATCTACGATTGGAGATTTAACGAAGATCTATTCAGTCCGGTTCTGAATCTAAGGGGTTTCCCCCACCCTACAGGCAAGGGCGAACCCTGGGGTACTACATTCCTCAAATTCTTTCTCGACTTTTCCTTTTTCTGTTCTTTGTGGAGTGCAGCTTTTAAAGTCATGATTTGCACACCTAAACCCCAATGGAGCATGTTCGAAGGCTCTAACTGATGTGCTACCTCGGCTTCAAGTTCAACCTTGAATATCTTGCAGCTTCAAAGTCTCAACTCGCCACTGGAAAGTAGTGCGACACAGAAATAACGCAAGAAACTTTTATTTTCGAAACTTGCCGGTCAAGCTCTTTTGTTCTCTTTTTTCTTTTCTTGCCAGCATTCTGTTTGTGCTGAATACAGAGGATGCTATCAAACCTTGACTTTACATCAGTACGACTGATCCACGCCATTCAGCATCATTTGACCCCTCGTCAACTTGCAGATTCTCTGTCACTCATCTTATACTTCTCCGTACAAAATTATCTCGTCATCTCAAGCTCGACTACCAAAACGAACATCCAAGATGGAGCCAAAGCTCCCCCAAGGTCTTGTGGCTATATCAAGTGTGTCTGCTAGTGAGATCCTGCAGCAGGGCACATTAAGTAATGGCTTATACAAGAACCTTTGGCAAGGTAACATAACACTCCCTACTCCTGGTCTCGTTGTAGACGGGCTGGCTGACAACAAACAGCCTACTCGACGTCGCACCTGGCCAGCAAAGATGAGACCGAGCGTCGCCTCGAACATCTCTTCTGGAGAATATGGGGTGCGAAACGACTCTCGAGCCGCGTTAATACCCGTACCCTAAATCGTCTTATACTACGCATTAAGGCGCCGGCAATATTAGTCGGACAAAGGGTGACTGTCCCACCGTTGCCTGTGACTGGCGACAAAGGAGAAAACGTAAACATAAATGCGTTCTACATCGCACCATATGAACCGCGTATTAGTGACTCATGTGCTCGCATCAATAAGAATCAGCCAGGCTGCGCTGTCGGAGCCTCTTCTCCTCTCTCAATCGTGAGAAAGTCGCAGCCTTCACAGGTTGAAACATATAAAGCAACTCGATTGCTCCTTGACACTCCCATCGGCACAAAGATAACACTCAACCCTTCTAATTCACCCACCACAAGCATGGCTGGTGATCACACTTCCACTTCTACTCCCGGTAACACGGGCCGTCAGCGTCGCCAGAAGACCTTGACGGATGCCAAGTCTACCCTCACTCCCGAGAAGGTTGGCGACCAGGATTCCAAGAAGACATATATAGCTTTTGAGTCTGCCACTGCTCCAATTGACATTGGCGACCGAGGTTCCAAGAAGACATTCCTGACTGCTCCGAAGAAAGTCGGCGACCAGGACTCCAAGAAGACATCCATGGCTTCTGAGTCTACCACTGCCCTGGAGAGCTTGAGCCAGCATGGTCCCAAGAAGACCTACCTTACTGCGACACGCCACGGACGAGGCCCACGCCGCCGCCCAGTCTTCAACCACCGCAAGTCCTCGCAGGTGTTTATCCCGAGAACAGCAATTCCAACCCGTCGCCGCTCTGAGCCCACTACCAAAGCCGATGACTACGAAGACAGCTATGTCGAGCTCGGTCTCTTGCAGCACCTCAGCTTCCGCGACGAGGACGACGAGATCACGCGCAACCTGGGATATGAGATTGCCCCCGCGCCAAAGCCCGCCATCCCATCCTTTTCACCATTCGACGACGACGACTTTGTCGATGACCCCGTCGCTGCGGAGGCTATGAGAGAAGCAGCAGCAACATCTCCTATTCCTTTCCCGCGCGCTTCCACTTTCCGCCGCCCGATGCTGAGCCCTGAGGAGGTCAGCAAGGTGAAGCCATTGTTCAAAGTGGTGAAGAACCCCGTCAAATTGCCTGGTGGACCGCAGTTTGACGTTCCTGGGGATGTTGAGGGAGACTGGGCGGATATCTGTTGAATGGGCTACCAGATTTGGCCTATTCGATAGGCTTTAGCCAGAGAATTTACAGGAATAAATAAGTCTTATTGTATTGGATTCTAACCGAATTCCACCTCGTATTCCGTAGTAACCTGAGCCTTACCTAAAGGAATTGTGAGCCTCTAGGTCAAGGTTCATCTCTCAGTAGTGAGAGATCACACTTCATTCTCTTTATCACAGATGACAGCAACGAAGCTCCCTTGAGAACGGGGACAGCAGTGGGCTGTACAGCCGAGTGAACCTACCCAGCCGAGTGAACCTACCCAGCAGTCTCATGGTGGGATACCGACTTCTTACAAGGCTACGAGGCAGGAAGGGCGAATCAAAAGCATCCATATTGATGTAAGGCTCAGGAAGCTGAGAGAGAGAAAAAGAGAAGCAGTTGATTTTCTATAAACAAGCAGAGAGCTACTTATGTAGCTCTCAGTATTTTCCAAGTAAACGACGGAAAGGAATTAATCTCTAGATGAGACTACATTGAAACTGAAGTCACCGGGGTGTATCTCAAAAAGAACGTTAATGTTTTGTATGTATTGAGAGAACGCCATCCACGAAAAGAGCCAAAAGCACCGAACAACATGACTCCCGAGTCCAAATGCCAGATACAAAAGAAACAAACGAATGAAAATGCTATTCAAACTCCCTTTCCATCCGATGCCATCAAGGCATCTGTTCATAACAGATCTCACCCATCAAGCCCACTATCAAAGTGGGCATGCACACCCTCAACTACCTAAATCTGCTCACCCTTCTCAGCATCAAGCGCACCAGCCGACCTGCGACTCTTCAACCAGCGCAGCAGAACCCACGAAGTAGTCATAACCCAGAACGCCAAGTTAATAATATCAACCCAAACCGCATGGCGCATCCGATTAATCTTCGACGCATCACCAAGCGCCGAAGTCGCAGCATCAGTCTTTCCACCCGAGACGACAGGATGAACACCAATATACATCTTCCCAAAGATGCCAAAGAGCGCCAACCACAGCACGGAAACCACAAATTCCCACACAAACTGCGGCAGCAGCAGCATCGTAGAATCGGAGCCAGCTCCGGCGCCGCGCTTAGCTTTGCGCATGATGAACGGCATGATGAGGTGGATGGCTGCGGTTACGGTTGCGAGGAAGGCCGTGATAAGCGCGTACGCCCATTTCGCGTGCCAGGTGTGTTTCTCGGAGTGATCATGATGCACGTCTTTGCCGTATAGGCCAATGACGGTGAGGCCGAAGACGAATTGTAGGAAGCGCAGCGTTGAGAAGAACATGAAGGCTAGTTTGGCGCTTTTGCTTTGCTCTTGTGGTGGAGAGAAGTGGAGGGTTGTCCCCGGCGTGGCGCCGGCTGGGTAGCCGCTCATTGGGTGTTGCTCGGGTTCGTAGGTTGGGTAGGCGTTTTGTTGTTTTTGGAGGTCTTTCTTGGCTTTGTGCTTTTTGGCTTGGGATATGCCGAGCTTGAGGAGTGGGACGGCTAGGAAAGACATCTTTGGATTTGGTATGGTGATGTGGTAGGTGGTTGTTGATTGGAAGGTGCGAATGAAAGCAATGGTAAATGCTTAGGATATGGCGCACAGCGCAGATATTATATCGAGAAGAAGGAGTATGAGGTCGAATGAGATAATGAGAGGAGTATTCCAAGATTCGGCAGACCAGATGCCAAATAAGAGGAATGAAGCTATTGTCGAGATTGTATGACTAGATATTGGGACAAAGAGAAAGTGGCCCGTCGTATTCAAGAGGGTATAATAGAAATAGAAGAAAATGAATGAAACAAAGATGCATGAGAATAGAATGGAAGACTCTCATCAATGGCCCGGGGCTGTTCTTTATAGATTAGCCCTATTCTCGGTCCCCGGGGCATATTCGTCAGAACTTGAAGGCAACAAAGCGCAATGTTGCTATTTTCTGGCATCTGCGGCCCCGGATGAAACGCATCTCCTTTGAGCGCGCGGTTCTAGAGCTTCTCCACTGTCCATCCTCGCCTTTCATCCAGAGACAATCACTCGGGAACAAGAAGATGAAACGTATGGATCAAAATAGAATACCAAACACCCCTGGAATCAAAAACTAACACAAAGCTAGCAAGCTGGGGTATTGCGGGGGTCCGAAACCTAGCATCTAGTGGGGTTGCAGTTCGCGCGCGCCAACTTGAGGTTGGGATAGTTTCAAGTGTGGTGGCTCGAGATCCAATCAAAATGTCCTCTCTATTTTCGGTATATACAAATGAAGTTAAACAGATGATCTAAGAAAAGAATGTATGCTACGAGACTGGACATTGGATCATTTCACATTTGATTCAGAACATACACATCATGGACATTGCAAGTACAAAGATAACCAGGAACCAGACTCCAACAAGGGACTTTGTCCGATGAGTTGCTCGCCAAACCAACATGCTGAGAGGCGATTTCCTTCCATGCAACAACCCGAGAACACCCCTCCAAAAAATACCCATACACCCTGTCAACCTGTCAACCCGAAAATAAAAACCAAATGCAATGATGGACTGATGAAATGCAAAAGAACACCTATGAGACGCAGAAGGTCGACTAGGCCGGTCGACTTGCTCCAGAATTCGCAGTACCCTTGATGCCTGGAACAGACGCCGCTATCTTTGGATAATTTCCAGTGGGCGGTAGTGGAGGCTTGAGGTCGGTGGGGGACGCAGGGGCAGAAGGTGGGATCGGCGAATTTTCATCATCATCATACTCATGTCCTTGGTATTCATCATCGGGAAGACCTGATCCACCGCCGGAGGAGTTGTCAGCCGAAGCGCGGTCGTATCCCTGCTGCTGTGAGCCATTCTTCGATGCGTTCTTCGTCGCCTTCTTGGTCTTGCGACCCTTCATCTTGGCCTTCTCCAAAAGCCGCTTCTTCTCCGCCAGTCGCTTGCGCTCTTTGCGGTCTTTCATCTCATACTGTCTGATTAAGGCTTCGGGCGGATGCCCAAAGATGCTCTCATATTCACAGAATTCACAAATCCAGATATCCTCGAGACTAGGGGGATGGTGGAAGTTTCTGTATTGTTGCTGGATCTTGCGTTGACGTGCAGACAATGCGTATGTGCTGCTTGGGGATCGTTTTTTCTTGGGGCCCACGGGGGTCGGCTCCCCACTTTGAGCGGGTGCTCGCGCGGGTGGGGCCTGGTGGTTCACGGAGCTAGTCTGTGTTCCTTGTGTGGAGATGCCCCTCTGTTTTTGACTTGCCGGACCGAGTGGTGAAGTGGGGGATCGATAAGGGATTGAATAATTTCGCTGCATCGCCATGCCCTTAGACGAGTCGGATTCACATGTGAACGTGAATTGTGTCTTCGTAGGAGTGGTATTTTCTTTCTCTTTTTCCAAAAGGCTGACGTTGCCAGGACCTCGAGGTGGGGAAGAGAGCGTTGCGGCATTGGCGATCGCGGTAGAGATGATTCCCTGGTCAGAAGATTCACCTGGTACAGAAGTTAGAACAAATAATGCAATGGAAAAATGGGAAAATGGAAAAATGGAGGGAAATGCATACCAGAAGGGCCAGGGGGTGACATCAACCCGTCTCGCCGACTGGGCGTCCGGGCATTCAGCCATCCATGCTGAGCATTGGGCGATAACGGGTTTCTGCTGCTACTACGAACAGTAGGACGTCCCAACCGACCTCTTCCTGAACCAGATATCCCATTTCCTAAAGGAGACGCGGGGTTTCCACTCCCATAATATGTGCCAGTGGCATCAGTAGGAGTAGGGGCCCGTACGGGGGTTGAGTTTGTCAAGCCCATACTGGCGAACTCCGGAGACAAGGCAGAATGGTGCCCTCCCAAGTTCCCGGGGGTAGGTATCTTTCTCTTTTTCTTGTTATTCGTATTCTCAAACGCGTCGTAGCCGTCCCCGGTTGAAGATTTTGTCTGCGGTGTGTCGTGGGGGAAGCTATGTGGATTGCCAGACACGGGAGGTGATAGTGACGATCTCCGGATAACACCACTCCTTCGAACAACCATCGGACCGCTTTCATCACCGCTTTCCAACTCTACTGGCGTCTCAAATTCATGGGTCTCAACCTCCGGCGACAATTCAGTCTCCACTGTCTGCTGCACATAAACTTTGGATTCATTAACCGCCTCTTCAGAATCCGCAGAGACACCATAGAATATTTGAGACGCCGGCGGCGTAGGAGGATAGAATAGTGTGTCGGCAGCATCGGAAGAGAGGCGTGAACGGAGGGTCCGTCTAGGTAGAGGACGGATCAAACGATCAGGGTAAATGGCAGAGGGTGTATCGGGGGACGAATTGAACACCCCGTCTACATGGCATCGTCAGTATTCAGTCCACTAGTTGATCGTTATCCTGAATTGGGGAATCCCCGATCATCCGGACCAAATGTCCCTGAGACATACTCAATGTAGCTGTCATCATGCAAGATATCCACGCTCGCCATCAACCGCCGACGATGCTATGAGGATGATATTCCAGTCCTTTCACTCTGTCCTTTTATCCCCCGCCACCGTATTTTCTTGTCAAGGGGCCAATAATCCAAAAGTCGGGGACAGTGTTGAGTGTCGAATTGGCAAGTAATGTCTTCAATGTCTGTGATCCGCAGTCATAAGCTTTTGTCCTTTTAATAATAAGCTCACGAGAAGCGTACAGGCAGTGAGATCAACATGCAACTGGGATTCGATCCAATCTTGGCGTTCCTCTGCTGTCCACAATCCCGGAGACACGAATATCAACCTACCCACAAAGTGGTGCTATTACTCAGCACCTTCGATATCCAAAATCGATGGGACGAGGATCCAAAATTGGGAATCGAGTGAACTCGATTCCAGATTCAGTGCTAGAGACAAGACAAATGAATAACTTGAATAACTACTAGGAGGGGTTGAGGGATACGAAGAGAAAGAGACAAGTCACGGGAATTTAGAAATCAGGCTAATCTACTTTCGGTAATCCCTCTACCCAATGACTTCGGAGAGAAGTGGCATTACACGTACACGCCTCTGAAGAACTACTT